CCCCTTCAATTCTATACCACAGGACATTTTTTAAATCAAAGAAGATCAAAGACTAAGTAATTTTTCCAGATCCCCATAGCTTGTAAGTGGCAGAGCTCACTCCACATTTCGAGGTTTTGTTGTTGTTGTTGTTGTTGTTATTGTTGTTTTAATAGAGATGGGGTTTCACCATGTTGGCCAGGATGGTCTTGATCTCTTGACCGTGTGATCCACCGGCCTCGGCCTCCCGAAGTGCTGGGATTACAGGTGTGAGCCACCGCGCCCAGCCACATTCCAAGTTCTTAACCAAGACACTATGGCATGAAATAATCTAGACATTATTTCTACCAAAATAATTTTTTACATAAACACCTGAAATTTATTTCACCTGATGTCAATTTACACGCTGCTCTCCAAAATAGTTCAGTGGTCTCCATGGCAACACCATAACTCCAAGGAGTTTTAGTACTCTCAGGCATTTTATTTTTAGAGGCTCTGTTGTATACTGTCTCCCCCTGCTGGTTTAACAATGATGTCTTTGAGGCATTAGCAAAATAACTGCAGTAAGGCAGTGGTTCTGAAAGTGTGGTCCCAGACCAGCAGCATCAGCATCACCTGGATACATTCTCAAAAAACTGGCTGGTCCCACTGTAAGGCAGAACTACTGTAAGGCAGTGGTTCTGAAAGAGTGGTCCCAGACCAGCAGCATCAGCATCACCTGGATACACCCTCAAGAAGAAACATGGTGATTCACCCCTGTAATTCCAACACTTTGGGAGGCCAAGGCAGGAAGATCTCCTGAGCCCAGGAGTTCGAGACTAGCCTGGGCAGCATAGTGAGATGCTGACTCTACCAGAAGTAAATAAATAAATAAATAGGTAGCTGGGTATGGTGGCGTGTGCCTATGACCCCAGCTACTAGAGAGGCTAAGATGGGAGAATCTCTTGAGCCCAGGAAGTCGAAGCTTCAGTGAGCCATGATCACACCACTGCACTCCAGCCCAGATGACAGTAAGACCATGTCTCAAAAAATAAAAAGCAGCAAGAAACTTCTTACTTCTTGAGCACCTGCTGTGGGTCATCAGATACTTGTTAGAAGTGCAAATTCTTGGGACCCACCCCCAAATTTACAAGATCAGTAACTCTTGGTAGAGCAACAGTAACCTATGTTTTAATAAGCCCTCCAGGAATGGGTGGAGGCGTGGTCAAGAATTCACAGTCACAGATACTGTCATACTTCAGTTCATTGAAATTATCTTGATACTTTTCAATTTCTTGCCCATCACCACATCCAATTTTTTTCCCCATTACTGTTTTCTGAAGTTGATACTGGCACAGGTTGCCTCAGGGCTTCCTGTGCTACTGCAAAAATCTCTTGCTTCTTGAGCGCTTACTGTGGGATTAGCAAACTGACCTTTCCAAAGTGCTACCTTAATCGTTCATGTCAATTTCAATGGTTTTTCCACTACCTATAGTTTAGTCAGAGAGAAATTACTAGTTCCACTTTATTATGCACTGGGAGAGTGAACAGGAGATTGTTATATAAGTTGAGTACTCTTAATCCAAATATCTAAAATCTAAATCTAAATTTTGAGCACCTACATGATGATGCAAGTGGAAAATTCCACACCAGACCTCGTGTAACCAGTCCCAGTCAAAATGCAGTCAGGTTGGTCCGAAGGTAGTGAGTTACCTAAATAGATTGTTCACAGTCAGTTACAAATGGAACACCTTGTTCTACTACTGCACTTGACT